TAGTGAAATCCTCTATTTGTATATTGCTCAGAGATTCCCAAACACAAATCAAATCTCATTATAATAAACCTGAAGACTCTGTAATTGCTGTTGTAAGTAGGCCACCAGCTGGCACTTGGAAATGTTTTGCTATACAGAGTTCTTGTTGTTGTTGTTATTATAATTACATGTATCATGATTGAATTTAACTAAGAACTTGTCTAAAGCATGCATACACTCACAAAAACCATGAGGATTTAAAGAAAGTATATAGGACAATAACCTCATGTCCTTATTTTTCTATCAAAAGAACTACCATGCATGCAGCAATTTCCAAGATGCCTCAAAGGAACTGGAAGCTTTAGTTTCTGACCTGGCATGACACCAAGAAAACAATTTCTGTTTTTAAACATTGTCCTGCTTTCTGACTCTGTGGCATACCTGCCTACTCCTTGGGCCTGAAGTCTGCTTCTGAGTAAAGAGAGTAGAGAGGCATTATAAAATGTGATTTTGATCCCAGAAGTCCTATTGCTTAGCAAATTAAGTTAAATTAACTAAAAATAATTTAGGAAATTTAGAAAAAGCAACATCACACAAAATTAAATTTCCCCCTAAATTGAATTCCAGGATGTTGAATGATGCAACTGGTTAAATGAGACTTGTTAGTTCAATAAATAACCAATCCGTGGGACTTACTGTGCTTGCAGTAGGGGTGGCACAGTGACCCAGGCACAGCCCCTGCCCACCAGGAGTTCTCAGGAGGAGAAAGCCACAGGGAAGCAGGCCATTACGATGCCCTTCACCAGGCTCCCTCGGGGCCAAGCTGGAGAGTACAAAGGGGTACCTGTCATCTACAGTTATAAGTAAAAACCCATCGGGGCCTCCCTAGGAGCTTTGCAGCTAATCCCTTCTCAGATTTGCCCAGAATAAAATGCAAACCTTACCCTAAAAAAACCACACAGCACAAAACAAAACCCACACCTAATCATCTTACTGAGATGTCTTCCCAGATTTGAGTTAGTGGCCATTTGCTGCTTGAAAGCAAATGGACTTAGAAGCTTGCCTTGGTTTTCCCTATTCACACAAGTGTCTGATCTTGTTTCTATCCTTGCTTAGTTATTTGCTGTAATAATAACTTGTGGCAGTGAGTTCTCCTGGGTTACTATTCACTGTGCACGGGAAGGATTCTTTGTTTCATTGGTTTAGATTCGTGTGGGAACCACTATGCTCCTGTTAAGAGAAAAGCTGGTTAATAGCAGCTAAAAGGGGCCATTCATCGCTCTGCTGGGGATACGGACGGGAAAGAGGGTCAGAAGTTCTGGCACCTGGTCCCCAGTCTGTACCCTTACACAAGTCATTTCAATCATGTCACATCTTCAGCTATAAGAATAAAAGAAATGTATTTTAAAAGGTCACCTATTAGGCTGGTGTACTGCATCATGGCGCACAGATCAGCATGGGGGAACAGCTTGGGGAGGCACCAAAGAGCAACGGTCTTAAATTCTATCAAATATATTTGTAACCTTACTTCTCATTTCATTTGCCAGATCTCTTGGAAGTCTTTCAAACTAAGGGCTTTAATATTCCATCACCAAGTTAATGCATTTATTGGGCACTTATATCAGATCTGAGACTAAAACATCAGGGCAATGATTCTCAAAGTGTGGCCCAGGAACCCCTGGGGGTGCCAGACTCCTGCAGGGGCTCCACAAGGCCCAAATTCAAGCATAGATGCCTTCAAAGTGCTAGGTAGATAAATAGATTCTAATGTCCTAGAGGATGAAAAGTTCATTACAGTTTCAGATTTGATATTGCAACTAGTCTACAAAAAAACTATCATTTGTGAATTTTTGCATAGTATCAAAAAAATCTACAATTATTTGAAAAGGCTGTTAAAATACTCTTCTCTTTTCCAACTACATATCAAAGTGGGGCTGGATTGTCTTCATATACTTTAACTAAAACAACGTTTTGCAAGAGATAGAATGCAGAATCATATGTGAGAATCCAGCTGTCTTCTTTCTATTAAACCAGACATTACAGAGATCTGGAAAATTCCAAACAATGCCACCTTTTTCACTAAGTTTCTGTTGTTTTAAAATGTGGTTATTTTTCATGAACATATGTTACTTGTGTTCATGTGTATTAGGTATGTTATTGTTATTTTCAAATGAGTTAAGTAAATATGTTTAATGCCTCTGTTTTTCATTTTAACACTGCAGATATATCCACAGATCTAGCCAACATAAGCAACTATTTGATATCGTCAATAATTTTCAAAGCTTAACTTTTTATATTGAGATAACTGTAGATTCATAGGCAGTTTTAAGAAATAATGCGGACAGATATCAGGTACCCTGTACTCAGTTTCCTGAGTAAGAATGGTAACATCTTGCAAAACTATAGTACAACATCCTAACCAGGATGTTAACATTGATATGGTCACAATATAGAACAATTTCATCACAAGGATTCCTCATTTCCCTGTAAGCCACACTCACTTTCCATCCACCTCCATGTCTTTCTTAACTGCTGGTACTCACTAGTCTGTTCTCCATTTCTACAATTTTATGATTTCAAGGATGTTATATAAATGGAATTATAAAATATGTAACCTTTGGGATTGGCTTTTTTAATTCAACATAATTTTCTGGAGATTGACCCAGGGTTTTTAATGTATCAATAGTTGATTCTTTTTATTGCTGAGTAGTATTCCATTGTATGAATGTACAATAGTTTGTTTAGCCATTCACTCACTGAAGGACACCTGGTTACTTTCCATTTTTGGCTATTACAAATAAAGCTGCCATAGAGGTACAGGTTTTGGTGTAAACATAAGTCTTTGTTTCTCTGGGATAAATGCCCAAAAGTATAATTGCTGGGTCATGTGTTAGTTTCATGTTTTGTTTTTAAAGAAACTTCCAAACTGTTTTTCAGAGTGGCCGTTTCAAATATTGAACTTGTCTTGTATTTCTAGATAAACCCCACTTAGTCAGGGTGTATAATTTTTTCAATATATTGCTATATTCTATTTGATAATTTGTTTATATTTTATTGATTTTTTACAGAGAGGAAGGGAGAGGGATAGAGAGTTAGAAACATCGATGAGAGAGAAACATCAATTCAGCTGCCTCCTGCACACCTCCTCCTGGGGATGTGCCCACAACGAAGGTACATGCCCTTGACCGGAATCGAACCTGGAACCCTTCAGTCCGCAGGCCGACGCTCTATCTACTGAGCCAAACCGGTTAGGGCTGATAATATTTTTAAAGGATTTTTTTTGCATGTACCAGTATATTCATGAGAAATATTGGACCCAAAATTTTTGTATACTCTCTTTTTCTGGTTTGGGATCAGGGTATTACTGGTTCCATAAGATGAATTGGAATGTATTCCTGTCTTCTGTTTTCTGGAAGAGGTTGAGTAGAATTGGTATTCTTTTTTAAATGAATGGTGGAATTCTCCAGTGAAACCATCAAGGATTTTTTAAAAAAATATTATTTTACTGATTTCAGAGAGGAAGGGAGAGGGAGAGAGAGATAGAAACATCAATGATGAGAGAGAACCATTGATCAACTGCCTCCTGTACAACCCACACTGGGGATGGAGCCCGAAACCCGGGCATGTACTCCATCTGGGCATGTGCCTTGACCGGAAATCGAACCCATGACCTCCTGATTCATAGGTTGACGCTTGAACACTAAACCATGCCAGCCGGGTCCATCTGGGTTCTTTTTTAAACAAGTTATTTAGTTACAAATACAATTTCCTTAATAGTTAAAGGGCTACTCAGATGATCTATTTGATACTGAGTGCATTATGGCTGTTTGTTTTTGGAGGAAGTGGTCCATTTCATCAAAGTTGTCACATGTATGTGCATACACTTGTTCATAATATTCATGTATTTTGATATCTGCAGGTCTGTAGTGATAGCCTTTGTTTCTTTCCAAATATTGGTAATTTGAATCTTATTTCTTTTTGTTTTGCTAAAAACTTAATCAATTTTATGATCTTTTAAAGAAACAGCTCTCTTTTCATTGATTTTCTTTATTTGAAAACAGATGTTTCTCTGTTTCAATTTCATTAATTTTTATGTTATTTTTTTCTTCCGCTTTCTTTGAATTTAAGTTCTTGAGGTGGGAGCTTAGCTTAGATGACTGCTTTGCAACTTTTCTTCTTTTCTAATGTAAGCATTTAGTTCAATAAATTTCCTTTTCAGCACAGCTTTATCTCTATGCCACACATTTTTTTAATCTAGGGGTGGGGAACGTCCCACCCACTGGCTGTATAAGGCCCGCGAAATAATTTGGTCTGGCCCTGCCAAGGCATTAGGGGTGAGTTAATTAAATGTGTGACCAAATATAGCAGCTAATTTTTAAGTTGACAATTTTGTCTGGCCTGTGAGTGATGTTATAAATATCCAAATGGCCCTGGTCAGAAAAAGGTTCCTCACCCCTGTAAACCACTCTAACAATTTCTGTCTTCTACCTGTCATGTGGCCCCACTGCCACCACGGAGAGGTGGCCTCGTTATTCTGGGGAATGGTGCGAGTCCTGACTCTCCACTAAGCTGCCTCTGGCCCCGCTCACGAGGCAGGAGGGGATACTGCCTCCTTACTGCCAGGTGGCCCACTGGTCTCCGCTGGCACGGTGGGGCTATGTGTGTGGTGGGGGGAGGCTCATAGGTGACAGGGATGAGAATTCTGGCCCCCTGCTTGGCCTGCTCTGACACCCCCTGTGGGGATGTTGGGGTGCTCATTACAACCTAGTGGGGGCAGAAGTTGAGGTCCCCACTTGGTCTTTTCTAGGTGGTTTCGGTGGGGCCGTGGCTTTTGCCTGAAGTAGAGTGGTCACTGTCTGAAACCTTTCTGTCTTGCTAAGCTGCTGCGTTCCTGATCCTTCAGCTGGACAGGGGAGACTTTTGTTGGGGCTTTTGTCTGGGCCACTGATATTTTGGGGTTGATGCTTCTTCAACTCCAAGTCTGGGATAATATGAGATAAGAAGTAAACCCAGGGACTCACCTCTGTGTCATTTCTGGGGTCCCAAAGTCCTAAGCCATTCTGCCACCTTCTCTCCACAGTTCAGAGCTTTATGTTTGTTTTACATACGACGTCCAGGATTTCTGGTTGTATTTTGCGCAAGGAACGCACAAGGGAAAGTTTGTATAGCATCTTCCAGAGCAGAATTCTCCACAGCAGTTGGTTAAGAATGTGAAGGGTCCCGGGTTTGAGACCCTCTGGTCTGGAGGAGAGAAAATGTGTAAATCATTGATCCTTACTCTCGGCCTTGCCATCTTGCTGTGAATGTGACACACTAGAATTTTTCATACCTAGCTCTTCTTGCTAAACTATATATTTTAAATAAAATAAGCTACCACCTATTATAAATGGTAGAAGCTAATCCTTTTCCATTTGTGTTACCATCGTAGGGAGGGGCTTGCTTTTCTACCCTCCACCCCAGGAAACCACACTGCTCCACACCACACAGCGATACCATGGATGGTGGCAATTGGTGTTTGCAGCTTGCGACAGTTTACAAAGTGTCCTCATGTAGATGATGACATTGATCCTTACAATAGCCCCATAAGGTCAGCAGAACTGGTATTATCATCTCCAGGGCTGATATTTGGCTGCCACACACCAGCACAGTTGTGCTGGCTGCTAAGGTAACAAAATCCTCTGTAAAAGCTGCTGCCTACAACCCCCAAGCACTCCCCCTTCTCCCCCAACACCTGTCCCTCCATGTCAGTGGTTCTCAACCTTGGCTGCACATTAGAATCACCTGGGAATCTTTTTAAAATCCTGATTTCTGGGCCTCATCCTCCGGAAATTCTGTTTCTTTGTTACTAATGTTGTGGCCCCGCCCCATAACAAAGAAACAGAATTTCCGGAGGATGAGGCCCAGAAATCAGGATTTTAAAAAGATTCCCAGGTGATTCTAATGTGCAGCCAAGGTTGAAAACCACTGTTCCATGATCCTGCAGCTGAAAGGTTAACACGAGGCCAAGACGGGGCCTGGCTGGTGTCAGATCTAGTTCCCGAGCCCCTCCTGTCTATCAAATGCCTTGACTGCCACCTCTTAATCTTCCTCATGAGACGCTGAGGCTCCAAGAGCAAGGGACCTGCTCACGGTCTCCAACCCTGGATGTCAGGGTCCAAACACACAGATCTTTCCTGAGCCAATAATAGACACAGAAGTATGGGCAGTGGGGCTGACAGAGGGCCCCTCTGAGCCTCCCCACACACCCTGCTGGTCTCTTCTGCCCTTGTCTGTGCCTGGGCACCTGCTATTCCTGCAAATGACTCAGACACCCGCCTGCAGAGCTTCTCCCGGAACCTCAGCCCCAGCTGGTCTTCCCTGTCTAACTTCCCGGCGACACACCTCCCCAGCCTCTCACTCACACAGCATTTTCTCTCAGGGGGCTCTATAATAGAGCATGCCTCATGGTTTATGTTGCTCCTCTAAGAGCACCTGCTCCTTGAGATGAAGGGCCACCATATAATCCCAAACCACGTGGACTGCAATGTTGTGCACACCACGGGTTCTCTGAAGCCTGCAAGCATCTTGGCGGGATTGGCAGGTCACGAATGGCCTGAGCAGGAAGACGGCCGCTCCGCGGTCTCTCCTCCTCTCTCCTTCCTGCTGGCCGCCCGCCCACTTACGGCTTCTGACATGTACACACCCGGGAAACAAGAGATGTCTGACTCCGCGTCTGCTTCTCATGTGCCCGCAAGCATGGAAGGAAAGGTCTCTACGGGACCGGTGTGTGGTGGGTGCATGCTCACTTCCCGGACCGTTTCCTAGGACATGTGTACTTAACAATGTTAAAACGGACATGAACTTTGATGAGCTAGTTGGAAAGTGGAACTAAGTGCCACTCTTTGGCTGACCTTCGGAGATCCCCTGGGCTGGCGAGTTGTTGGGAGAGTAACCAGGCCGGCTGCACAGTGTCCAAGCCTCTGGCTGTGCGGCCTCACGGCCCACGATGGCCTGTCTCGGCCGCCACAGCTGCGTTCAGAAAGCACTTCACGACATGCTCTGCGAACACAGCAGCCAACCGGTGGGATGAGCCTGAGGTTGATGAGGCCTGACTGGCTAGGACAGTGGTTCTCAACCTTGGCTGCACATGAGAATCACCTGGGAATCTTTTTAAAACCCTGATTTCTGGGCCTCGTCCTCCAGAAATTCTGTTTCTTTGGTACTGATATTGTGGCCTCGCCCCATAACAAAGAAACAGAACTTCCGGAGGGTGAGGCCCAGAAATCAGGGTTTTAAAAAGATTCCCAGGTGATTCTCATGTGCAGCCAAGGTTGAGAACCACGGGGTTAGGAGAACACTGACCAATGGCCGTGGCTGGGCAGGTGTGTGAGGGGACAGTGTGGGATGAAGAATTCCCTGGAGCTGACGTGGGGTGTTCAGTCTCCCAGCTCCCTGCCCCTCCCGGGCCTCCTCCTGCTCTGTCCCATGGGCTGCTCTTTTAAGGGGTTTTGAGGTAAACCATGTTTCCCCCATGCTCAGAATTTAGACATTTCCTGTGAGTGGCCAGCTACGCACGTCGGCCTGCAGTGTGCTTCTTTCTTGAGAGAGACACCGTGAGAAGGTAGAGAGGAAAGGGAGAGGAGTGAACACGACAAGGAAGGAGAAGGGGGAAGAGACTGAGGAAAGGACAGGCCCCGGCGAGCCCGGGCCACCTGCCAGCGCTGGCCGTGCCCCACCAGCTGTCAGTCAGCACAGGAGGGCCCTGGGCCTGAGGAGGCGCCGCTGTGGGGACGGCGGACACCCTCTGTGAGGACAGGATGCTCCGTGGGCCAGGAGCCTCCTTGTTTGCTTTCCTGCGACTTCCACAAGAAAACAACCCGAAGCATAAAACTCGCTGTCCCTTTGCTGCCCGAGGACCACGTGTTCTGTGGCAGGGCTGAGGCCAGCATGCCACCTGAGTGTCCCAGGGCACTGACAAAGCCTCTCTCTCTCTCTCTCTCTCTCTCTCTCTCTCTCTCTCTCTCTCTCTCTCTCTCCAGGCCTTTCTCATACAAGGCACACCCCTGGGCAACACGGGGCCCTGGTGCAGCTGGTGGTGTCAGCGGGCTGGGTTTTGTGCCCTCAGTCCCACACCTCGGGCCTGGGCCTGGGCCTGCCCCTGCCCCACTCTGGACTCTCCTTTGCTCCTTTTTGTGGGGACGACAGTTGGGAGAATTTTGTTTTACGTAACTGTGATGGCGGCTGCCTACCTTGTGGAGAATGAAAAACCAAACCAAATGAAATCTCTTTACTGGTTTCCTTTTGTAAACATTTCATCCCCCAAGGGCTGGGGAGCTCTAAGGAGCACAGTCTTCCCAACGGTAATTACAGCTTCAAGAACACGGCAGCCCTGCGTCTGAGTCTGCAAAGCCCAGGGAGTTGTTGATTTTGTGTGAGCCACACCCACTGTGCAGTTCCCCAGCCAGGAGCAATGGTGTCCAGGACACCCCCTCCCCCACGCACCCCGCTCCCCCACGCTCCCCTCTCCCCCACGCCAGGCCTGCGCCTCCCTGCCCTGAGCAGGAGGCATGACAGGGCGCCGCCTGGGAGGGCTCCTGGACGGGGCACCCGCTCGGCTACCCACCCAGCCGTGGGCGGCCCAGGTGGGAAACAATACCTTCATTCACGGGAGGCAGGTGGTTCCGTTGCAACACAGAGTGAGAGGAGGCAGGCCTCGCGGTGAGAGGCTATTCTGGAAAGGGGAGGAAATGTGTTTCCAGAGGGACAGGCCACCAGGTGCTGTCGATGTGCCCAGCCCTCCCACCACTCCAGGGCTGGCGGCAGCTGGGACACTGCCGGCATGGCTAACCGGTCATTAAAATGCCATTGTGTCTTGGTTCTGGGTGATAAATAGCGGCTGTACCAGCCTCGCCGTGTCCCAGCCTCCTGGGCCTCCCATTGCGAGGTCCCCGTTCGTTCGTTCCCATGGCCCGACTACTAAGGATTCCTATCAGGGCCTGCAGGAATGTGCTCGCCCCCACCTGTCAGTGCTGTCAGTCTGATTGTCAAACCTCACCCACCCCCACGCCAATCAGAATTAATTGCCTTCCCGAGGAGGCACATAGCTCATGCGCACTCACCGGGCATTCTCCACATTCTTTAGCGTCATTTCTATGTTGTGCACTTACGTGCATTCAGGTCTGTTTCCCCTTCCCGGGAACCTCTCACCCAGTGTCCCTCGGTGCCTAGGATGGACTGGCTGCCACCACCTACATCAGTGGTTCTCAACCTTCCCAATGCCGCGACCCTTTAATACAGTTCCTCATGTTGTTGTGACCCCCAATTTCATTGTTACAAATGGAACATAATTAAAGCATAGTGATTAATCACAAAAACAATATGTAATGATATATGTGTTTTCCGATGGTCTTAGGCAACCCCTGTGAAAGGGTCGTTTGACCCCCAAAGGGGTCGCAACCCACAGGTTGAGAACCGCTGACCTACATGGTCGTGATGTTCATCTGCCTTAGGGTTGGCTTGGAAGTGGGGAGACAGGGTGAGATGAGGCCCATGTCTGTGTGGGCACGTGTGGGTAGGGCCTGAGGGGGCACTTCTGCCACCTCTGCTGATCTGAATGTAGAGAATGAAGACGGGTTTGGGTGGAGGGAGGGAAGCCACACAGCAGGACAGCCTGGCCTCACAGTAGCCAGACTGGAACGGCAACAGGCCTCTCCCAGGGCTCGGCTCTCCCATCAGGCTATTCGGCTCTGCTCAAAGCTGAGGGTGCCTGTCGGCTGAATTAGCTTCTGTTCACATATGAGACCTGAGGGAAAGCAGTTCTAAGCACATGGCCAGAAGATACCCCAAGGAGTCCTCTAACGCAGCCTCTCTCCCCACAAACAAACAAAGCGATCTAGTGTTGGCCTCTCTTTCCAGAGCCTCCAGCCTGGCGATGCTGCCCGTGGAAACAGGACGGTGAAGAAACCAAGAGGGCGGCAGTCCTGCCCGGGCGGGCCACGCCTGGGTGGAGCGCAACCAGGGGGGTGGCTGTGGGCCAGCAGCAGAACTCGGGCTCGTGGAGTCAGAATCTTACACAATCTGGGGGACACTCTGTTAGAGAAATCACCCCAAATTACAAGCACAAAATGAGATACAGGGCCCTGGAAGAAGCCCACACAAGGAAGGGGCCTGAATGCTATGCTCCATCAGCTTGGCAGTACATTCACCTCCGGTACAGCACCCTAATAAGCAGGAGGCGGTGTGTGTTCGTTTCCTGGGGCTGCTGTGACAAAGTACCGTGAACTAGGTGAGTTCAAGCAACAGAAATTTATTGTCTCAGTTCCGGAGGCTAGACGTCTGAATCAAGGTGTTGGCAGGGCATGCTCCCTCCGAGACCTGTCGAGGAATCCTTCCCTGCCTCCTCCTAGCTCTGCATGGATTGCCAGCTCTTCGGTGTTCCTTGGCTTGCACTGCGTCACTCCCATCTGTGCCTTGGTCTTCACACGGCACTTCCCTGTGTGTCTCTGTGTTCACCTGACCTTCTTCTAAGGACACCAGTTATGTTAGATTAGGGCCCACCCTACTCCAGTATGACCTCATCGGACCTGATTACATCTGTAATGACTCTATTTCCAAACAAGGTCACATTCTGAGGTCTGGAGGAGTGGGACTTCGGCATGATTTTCTGGACGGACACAGTTCAATCCATAACAAGTTGGGGAGGCGGGGGCAGCAGCAGCGGTGGTGGAAGCACTGGAGCTATCCTGGAGGCTGAGGGCTGGGAGACCTGCAGTTGGTGCTCCACTGGGCTCTGTGAGTGGGAAGACGTTCTGTCCCCTTCCCCAAGCCACCTGGAGAGGATAGCATCTCCCAGACACCATGCTGGCCCAAGGTCCTGCTGCTTCACCTCCGCTCTTGATATCTTCACTCCACGGACTCACAGCATCACTTTGCTTGTCCCAAAGGAACTTGGCGCGTGTGGTTGGAGCATGTGCCAGAAGCTCTGACACTCTGGTCCCTGATCTCTGAGAGTTCACAGCCTGGTGAAGCACCGTGGATGAAAATTGGCTCACAGAACATCATGCTAATATGTCCACAGCCACAGGGCTACAAAAGCAACTCCCAATGCTTGCCAAGCTCAGTGAAAGGGGTGGTTAAAGTAGCAGGTAATTCAGGCTGGAATGCATCATTGTTTATGCTTTTCTTTCCTCTAAGACAGCAGTTCTCAACCTGTGGGTCGTGACCCCTTTGGCGGTCAAACGACCCTTTCACAGGGGTCACCTAAGACCATCCTGCATATCAGATATTTACATTACGATTCATAACAGTAGCAATGTTACAATTATGAAGTAGCAACGAAAATAATTTTATGGTTGGGTCACAACATGAGGAACTGTATTTAAAGGGCCAGAAGGTTGAGAACCACTGCTCTAAGAGGTTTGCCCTCTTAATTAGGTATTTCTTAATCTCCAAAATGAATGTATGTTTGCTGAGCAAGGGGTAGGGGGAGCCTGAAAAGTTCAGGCCGGGGAGTGGGGGGAGCAGGAAGAAGCCAGGCAGATCATCACAAAATTGGTTTTCCACATATACCCAGTAACCCCAGCCTTGCCCAGCAAGGTCAACCATGGGCTGGCCCTGGTCACTTCAACATTCTAATTAACCAAATGCCAAAGAGGCCAGGCATTTTCGAAGCCATATTCCAATGAAATACACCCAGCATTAAACAGCTACTCAGCATGGCTCACCTATGCTGATTCAATCGGCCTTGGAATCCTGCCGGCCTTTGGGGACATCGTTTTGAATGTGAACTGTCCATGTTAGAGCTGTGCTTGCGAGCGATGCGGGCGCTGGCTGGCCCTGTGATTAATGTAGAAGCTGCTCCTGGTCACACAAATCAAGGGTAGAAAAAGAGTCTGGCCGTAAGAGCTTGTGGGTGTTTGGATTCTAGATTAAGAAACAATATCTTAATGGCCCTTTGTCTGCATTTGACTTTGAGGCCATGGAACAGTTTCATGATTGACCCGTTGTGGTTAGAGCATGTTTGATCTTGCTGAGCAAGGAAAGGCAGGATCTGTGCTGGTCCAGCCCCACCCACCCACAAGAGGAGGGCAGCCCCGCTGCCCCTCAGATGCTGCCACTGAGACCCTTCTGTGATTCTTTTTTTAAATATATATATTTATTTTTTAAAATATATTTTTATTGCTTTCAGAGAGGAAGGGAGAGGGAGAGAGATAGAATCATCAATGATGAGAGAGAATCATTGATCAGCTGCCTACTGTATGCCCCACACTGGGGATCGAACCTGCAACCAGGCATGCGCCCTGACAAGGAATCCAACAGTGACCTCTTGGTTCATAGGTCGACTCTCAACCACTGAGCAACACCGGCTGGGCCCTTCTGTGATTCTTTGACTGGCCTTTGAACCATGTTGCTCATGGGCTTTCACCAAAGGAATCAAAACATCCACCCGTCTGCCTCTTAGTGGTCCAGACCTTCAGTCTTGCCTCGCTGTGGGGTAACAGGGTTTATCCTTTCCTGTGGTTGAGCTCAGCTGCTCCTTATCAGAAAGCAAGGTTGCCCTTCAGCAACCTCCTGGCAGTCCCACTCTCAGCTCCAGCCCCAGGGGGGCTCGCAAGGCAGCAGGCCACAGCGGCCTACACACCATCCTGGAAAGGAGGTGAGGCTTGGTTGGCTCTCAGGGGGGGCTGACAGCTGCTTTGCATCTGCTTTGTGTGTGTCACCTCACTTTGGGGCTTTGTAAAATCTTATTTATTGATCACCAAGACACTGAAAGCTCGAAACATTTGTTCAATAATTAACATGTGATTAATAGGGACTGTGTCTATTTTTGCTCTCACTGTAACGCAGGGACTAGCATGATGCTCAGCTCAGAGGAGGCCCTAAGAATATTTAGGTAATGAACAAGTGAACACATAATGAGCGCCATACCAAAATGAGAGTGGTGGTACTATGAACAGGAAGGACTCAGGGGAACCAAAGCAATCCAGGAAGTTTCCACGAAGGACTGGGACCTGGGCCGGGCGGCTGACACTGAGTGGGATTTAACCAAGTCATGAGAAACCACAACTATTTCTGTCAAAGATCTTCTAGGGAGGAAAGGACCTGTGACGGTGGGGATGTTGGGGGCTCAGTCAATAACCACCATCCTGGAGGCTTAAGGTTTTTTTCTATGGGTCCAACTTGGGTCCTGCCTTGGGAGTTTTAAGAATTTGCGATCACACAGTGCAGGCCAGCAGTAGAGGCCATGCAACTGTGGGTACAGCAATGAATGTGAACCCAGGGCCTGCTCAGGCAGTGGGGCCTGAGAGGTGTGTTTTATGCTCTCAAGGAGAAGGATTAGGGAAAGTCAACATCTTCCTCCCACTCAGTGTCCTAACTCTTACCCACTTGCACTGACCGGTTTTCTACTTGAGCTTCTTGGATTTTCCCTAAGGAAGATTTTCAACAGCACCACCTACTCCCAGTGTGTCATCTTGGTTCCCACACAGACGCATCTATTCCACCCATACTTATTGAGCACCTGCCATGTGCCAAGAATTCTCCTAGCGGTGGCAGAGCACCAGACAGGCATGGTCCCTGCTATCATGCAGCTTACATTCTCCAGCAAGGAAGACAAAGAACAAAACAAGTAAAGAAAAAAAAAATTAGCATAATTGCTGATGTGAAAGGCACAATCAGGAACATCAACCAGGGCAATAAGATAGAGAGTGACAAGGTGGGGATGGCAACTTCAGGTATGGTGGTCCATCAGAGAAGGTAGCTCTGAAGAAGTGGCGTGTGGGCTGAAAGCTTTAGGTAAAGTAAACTCATGCCAAAAGTCAAGAAACAGTAGGGAATAAAGTTTTGAAATAGTATCTGTTAGAATCTGAGATGAACTGCTAATAACAAGAACCAACTAAAGTGGCTCAACTAAATTAGAGGTTTATTTCTCTTACATAAAATAAGTACAGAGGTAGGCAGCTCCAGATAGCACCATAGCTCATCATGGACCTAGCTCTTTCTAACCTTCTGTTCCACCATTTCTAGTGCCTAACTTCTAGCCTTATAATCACATCATGGCTCAAGACCGCTGCTTGAGCTTCAGCCATCAGATCATCTGTATTCCCGGCAGAAAGAATAAAAGGGGAAGGGGCTACGGGTGCACTGCCCAGCTATCTGTCTCCCTTTGAAAGAACTTTCCTGGAAATTGCATCCGGTGAGTTTTTATTTGCAGATCTTTGACCAGAACTTAGTCTCATGGCCACATCAAGATGTAAGGGAGGCAGAGTCTTTTGGCTGGGGACTCGGCCACTAAGACATTGGGTAGTGAAATAGTCATCTCTGCTTCCGGAGGCCAAAAGATACTTCTACTCCAGACCCCGA